TCTGAAGGTCCCCGGTACCAGCTGAAAATATTTATGGAAGTATACAGTATATGGAGTACATGTCTAGAAGACTGCCCTTTGACTGGCACCCAGCCTGAAACACAACTCTGGCATAAAAAGACTGGTCATTATATCTGGTGTTTTACCAAATGTGGCATAACCCTTTTGTCACTCTTCATAAATGATTTCCAAAGCATCTATAAGCCATACAATGGGTTTATGAAGGCTCCAGTTGTAGTTTGTTTGAAATGAGAATACATTTTAATACATTATTGTAAAAAATAAATTTAAAAAAGGCGACTGTGACTCCATTTGCTACACCACTATGAGATGAATTTGATAAAGCCTCATTAAACAAAACCGGGAACATAACCTGTTCAGGGAATATATTTATTTCAGAATTAAAACACACAATGAGAATGCATGGTCAGATTAGTGTAATAGATTTAGCCTCCTATTTGGCAGGAGTCCCAGAAAGTGCTACTATAATGATGGCGTGTGGAAGGGAGAGCGGGACAAACCTGCAGCACTATTCTCCCCTGAGGGACACAATGTGGCGTCCGGTAAGTAATTGTCATTCGATTGGTCGGGTGGCCACATGGAGACAGTAAGAAGAGATTTATTGATCATTGTACAGAGACAGGCAACCATTTTGTGGTCCTCTGTAGCTCAGCTGGTAGAGCACAGCGCTTGTAACGCCAGGGTAGTGGGTTCGATACCCGGGACCACCCATACACAAAAATGTATGCACGCATGACTGTAAGTCACTTTGGATAAAAGCGTCTGCTAAGTGGCATATTATTATAATTTTTGTGGTCAGTCAGATATACTGTACAGCAAAGCTATGGAATTCTGGGCCTGGAGGCCCACAGCAATGCTTGTTTTCATTCTTTCCTTCCAATTGGGATTTATTTAAACCTGGAAGCCAATTGTGAGAGGGCTCTCTGACCAATCAATGACTTTAATTGATTAAGTACCATAGAGAATAAAGAAGCAGTGGAGGAATATTGAATAGCCCTGGAGTACAAGTGATTCCAGCCTCCGACACAAAAAAGACAGTGACTGACCTACACCTTTTATGGATAGAAAAATGCAGCTCTTTGGACTAGTTGCCCTATCGTAAACATTACAGCTGCAAATATATGCACTGATATAAGTTACTGTGTATATATACTGTCAAAAGTTTGGACACACCTACTCATTCAATGGTTTTTCTTTATTTTTACTATTTTATACATTGTAGAATAATAGTGAAGACATCAAACCTATGAAATAACACATATGGAATCATGTAGTAACCAGAAAAGTGTTAAACAAATAAAAATATATTATATATTTGAGAACCCTTTCCCTTGATGACAGCTTTGCACACTCTTGCCAGCTCATGAGGAATGCTTTTCCAACAGTCTTGAAGGAGTTCCCACATATGCTGAGCAATTGTTGGCTGCTTTTCCTTCACCCTGCGGTCCAACTCATCCCAATTCATCTCAATTGGGTTGAGGTTGGGTGATTGTGGAGGCCAGGTCATCTGATGCAGAACTCCATCATTCTCCTTCTTGGTCAAATAGATCTTACAAATCCTGGAGGTGTGTTGGGTCATTGTCATGTTGAAAAACAAATTATAGTCCCACTAAAAGCAAACCAGATGGGATGGCGTATCATTGCAGAATGCTGTGGTAGCCATGCTTGCTAAGTGTGCCTTGAATTCTAAATAAATCATAACAGTGTCACCAGCAAAGCACCCCTACACCATCACACCTCCTCCTCCATGCTTCACGGTGGGAACTACACATACAGAGTTCATCCGTTTACCTACTCTGCGTCTCACAAAGACAGAGACAGATTTCCACCGGTCTAATGTCCACTGCTCGTGTTTCTTGGCACAAGCAAGTCTCTTCTTATTATTGGTGTCCTTTAGTAGTGGTTTCTTTGCAGCAATTTGACCACGAAGGCCTGATTCACGCAATCTCCTCTGAACAGTTGACTGTGACTTGAACTCTGTGAAGCATTTAATTGGGCTGGTAACTCTAATGAACTTATCCTCTGCAGCAGAGGTAACTCTGGGTCTTCCTTTCCTGTGGTGGACCTTATGAGAGCCAGTTTCATCATAGCGCTCAATGGTTTTTGCGACTGCACTTGAAGAAACTTTCAAAGTTCTTGAAATGTTCCATATTGACTGACCTTCATGTCTTAAAGTAATAATGGATTATCGTTTCTCTTTGCTTATTTGAGCTGCTCTTGCCATAATATGGACTTGGTATTTTACCAAATAGGGCTATCTTCTGTATACCACCCCTACCTTGTCACAATCCATTAAGAAGGAAAGAAATTCCACAAATAAACTTTTAAGAAGGCACACCTGTTCAGAGAAATCCATTCCAGTTGACTACCTTATGAAGCTGGTTGAGAGAATGCCAAGAGTATGCAAAGCTGTCATCAAGGCAAAGGGTGGCTACTTTGAAGAATCTCAAAAATAAAATATATTTTGATTTGTTTAACACGTTTTTGGTTACTACATGATTCCATATTTGTTATTTCATAATTTTGATGTCCTCACTATTATTCTACAATGTAGAAAATAGTAAAAATAAAGAAAAACCCTGGAATGAGTAGGTGTGTCCAAACTTTTAACTGGTACTATATATATATAGATATATATATATATATATATATATATATATATATATATATATATATATATAAATATATACAGTGCATTCGGAAAGTATTCAGACCCCTTGACTTTTTCCACATTATGTTACGTTGCAGCCTTATTCTAAAATGGATTAAATTATTTGTTTTTTCTCGCATCAATCTACCCCATAATGACAAAGCAAAAAAAAACTTTTTTTAAATGTTTGCAAATGTCTAAGTACTTAGAACTTTGTTGAATAACCTTTGGCAGCGATTACAGCCTCGAGTCTTCTTGGGTATGACACTACAAGCTTGGCACACCTGTATTTGGGGGGTTTCTCCTATTATTCTTTGCAGATCCTCTCAAGCTCTGTCAGGTAGGATGGGGAGCAGCGCTGCACATATATTTTCAGGTCTCTCCAGAGATGTTCGATTGAGTTCAAGTCCGGGCTCTGGCTGGGCCATTCAAGGACATTCAGAGACTTGTCCCGAAGCCACTCCTGCATTGTCTTGTCTCTGTTCTTAGGGTTGTTGTTCTGTTGGAAGGTGAACCTTCGCCCCAGTCTTAGGTCCTGAGCACTCTGGAGCAGGTTTTCATCAAGGATCTCTCTGTGCTTTGCTGCGTTCATCTTTGCCTCGATCCTGACTAGTCTCCAAGTCCCTGCCGCTGAAAAACATCCCCACAGCATGATGCTGCCACCACCATGCTTCACCGTAGGGATGTTGCCAGGCTTCCTCCAGACGTGACGCTTGGCATCCAGGCCAAAGACTTCAATCTTGGTTTCATCAGACCAGAGAATCTTGTTTCTCATGGTCTGAGAGTCTTTAGGTGCCTTTTGGCAAACTCCAAGCGGGTTGTCATGTGCCTTTTACTGAAGAGTGGCTTCCATCTGGCCACTCTACCATAAAGGCCTGATTGGTGGAGTGCTGCAGAGATGGTTGTCCTTCTGGAAGGTTCTTCCATCTCCACAGAGGAACTCTAGAGCTCTGGGTTCTTGGTCACCTCCTTGACCAAGGCCCTTCTCCCCCGATTGCTCAGTTTGGCCAGGCAGCCAGCTCTAGGAAGAGTTTTGGTGGTTCCAAACGCCTTCCATTTAAGAATGATGGAGGCCACTGTGTTCTTGGGGACCTTCAATGCTGCAGAAATGTTTTGGTACCGTTCCCCAGATCTGTGCCTCGACACAATCCTGTCTCGGAGCTCTACGGACAATTCCTTCGAACTCATGCATGATCAATGGAAACAGAATGCACCTGAGCTCAATTTCGATTCTCACAGCAAAGGGTCTGTTTTTTATTTTTTATACATTTGCAAACATTTCTAAATACCTTTTTTTGCTTTGTCATTATGGGGTATTTTGTGTGGATGGCTGAGGATGTATATATTTTATTATCCATTTTAGAATAAGGCTGTAACGTAACAAAATGTGGAAAAAATCAAGGGGTCTGAATACTTTCCAAAGGCACTGTATATGTTTGATTATATATGTTTATCAGTCATAATCATAGTCATAATTTATCAGTTGCAGGGCAGATCTGACACAAGTGTTCAGTTTTACAAGCAAATAGAGCATGTCCGCACACACTTTCCTGGGTTACATCCCAGCACAATATTCTCTCTCTCTCCCCTTCTCTACTCTCTTTTTCTGCACTTCAGCTTTTGATAATACAACCCTCATTCAATACAACACATTAACTTCATAAGGAAATACACTATAATGACATGGCGACAAGGTCATGGTTCCTGTAGAATCAATTCTATTGAGTTCTATTGAATTGCATATTTACTGAAACGAGAAATTGTTGTATGGCATATCAGAACCCAGTCTTAAAAAACTTGCATTGATAGAGCTGTATGGATTTCTGAACATATGGCATACATAAACCAAATTTGAGTACCATTTATCATGGGCTCAAAGGACCTCCAAAGAAGTAACATGGACACTAGATAAAGTATATTATGATAATCTAGACACACTCAGCACAGAGCAGTTTGCTTGGACAGGTAGTTAGTATCCGTCAGTCAGTCAGTTTCAACCCCCCCCCCCAAACCAACACACACAGAGATAAACAGATGGGAGACAAACCAACCCAGGCCAGTGAATGGTGAATGGATGACATCTAGTGACGTCTTCGATAGGTCAGTGAAGAACCAAATGAGATACAGAACAGACAATCAATCACAAACACTTTTATATTTCACTTAAGAAACAAAGTTGTCTGCTATTCCAATGCGATGTGTCCTTGGCATTTCGCCAACAAGTTGTGAGTCAAGTCTATTGCAGTTGCCCCTGTCTTCAGACAGTGTTCTACAGTGCACAGCCATGCCTGATATTGTTGCAGTTATTGTTATCTAGGTCGCACGCACCGTTATCAGAGTTCTGTGGTTGGTTAGGGGAAGGATGAGTTTCAGTACTCTTAGGGTCATGTCCTGGTTGGGTTTCTGTGCAGCTTGAATGACGTCCTAGTTGGGTTTCTGTGCTGCTTGGATGAAGTCCTGGTTGGGTCTCTCTGATGTTTGGGTGAAGTCCTGGTTGGGTCTGTCTGTTACTGTTTGCTACGGGTTGATGATGAAGCTGGATCTTCGCCGCCGCCCTACCCAAGACCCCGCGGGGCTCCCTAAAGTGGCCCACCTCTTTAACCTTTGACATCTCTCTGCTGCGAGCCTCCTGTATCCTCTGTATCCTCCACTTGCGCCCCCTCCCTCTGCCTGCAGCACCCTTGCCGTCCCTCTGCCTCTGTGGCTTGGCGGCATCCTGCTGCTGGCGCTGCAGGCCCAACGAAGCGGCCAGGTCGGAGTGGGACGAGGTGCTGTCGATGAGCCTCCTCCCCAGGGCCAGCGGCCTCACAGGCAGGGCCAGGAGCAGGCGCTTCCAGAAGCGAGAGGTGGGCGGCTCCGACTGGCGTCCCCTCCAGGTGATGGTGGCGGTACTGCAGCGTAGCTGCTGGGCCTCAGTGCAAGAGGCCAATAGTCTCGGGAGGGGGCTGTAAAGGATGGTGATGATTTGGGCATGGCTGGTGAGCTGGATGTAGAGGCCCAGGCGACACTCCAGCAGGCTGACACTCTTCTCTGTCAGGTAGTCGGGGCTCAGGACCACCAGGAGCCGGCGGCTTGACTGCATACACCTGAGGACAGCCTCCGACACATCTAGTGGAGAGAAACTCACCTTAGGAACCCACCAGGACAGGACTATGACACTATGGGCAACAATCAATAAAACCGCATTGCGTTATTTAAAGACACACTATGTGCGTTCAGTTGCTGACTATTTACGTCAAATTTTGGATTGAATGCATACGCTAATTTATACATTTCTTATCTCATTAAACCAAACAAATCTTTAATTTTAGGCAAACAAACATATATGACTTTGCTCACGGATGGGGTGGAGAGGTAGGCTCATTTGTAGACAGTATTTATGTCTATTTAGGTGACCCCTTTTGGCTTACAGGCAAAAATCCTGCAAAGCTAGATTTTCTTCCTATGGTCAAATAAAATTACAGAATAGTTTTGATGTACTGTAAAAAAAATAAAAACGTACTGTGAAAACTTAATGTAAAAGAAGTGTACTGTAAAAACATACTAATCACTAACAAGTGGACTCCCCTCACAACTGTGAACATTAATCAAACTGATTAAAGACACTGATTAAACATTGCTATGGCAGGTTCGACTGAATTTCAGCCTATAGATTTTCCATTATCAAAAACAATGACAAATGCACAATGTCAACATACTCATAGCTATCATAGATATCACCTTCCATAAATGTATTTCAACCAGGAACTCCAAACACACAGCAATGTGAAAGATAATAATATGCCATATGCATAATATGACAAACATTAATGAAAATGTGATGACATTAAATGACATGGATGAAACGGATATTGAGATATAAAAAAAATGCATTTATTCAGATAAAAATGTACATAATATGAAAGAATTATACAAAATGATACAACACATGTAAAACACTTTCAAAATAACATTTAACAGAATGCAAAACAAATGGATGAATGGTTTCTCAATCACAAAAAAGAAACAGTGTAATAATGGAACAATGGTGTGTGTGTGTGTGTGTGTGTGTGTGTGTGTGTGTGTGTGTGTGTGTGTGTGTGTGTGTGTGTGTGTGTGTGTGTGTGTGCGTGTGTGTATGTATGTATGTATGTATGTGTGTGTGTGCGTGTGCGTGCGTATGTCACGTATATGCTATGCCATTCTGTATTCTCCACTATGTTTTTACGCTCGCGGTGTGTGTCTATAGCTATATTCTGCAGTGGTATAGCGTTACTATCTTGGCTCTGTAGCGGGTCTTTAATCCTTCTGACAGGTAGCTCCACCCGGAGTCGCTTCCAGAACCTAGAGGACAGATCTCGCTGCATTTGTCCTCTTGCCAACGGACCAGCGCCAGGGCTACTCTCGCCCGCCTCAGCTTGCGCATTTGGGATTCAAGATGATTTGTAGATCAGTGATTCAGTGCAGAGCCTTCATTCAGGCCAAACCTCTGAATCCTCTAATGGTCATAGCATGTGTCATTGTTATGGCCAGGGGAGGTTTGCTGACCATGTGACATGACCAGGGAAAACTCCAGGCCCTAGTTGTAGGCTGTTAGAGTTTTTCCTGGTCAGGTCATGTCAGGAAAACCTCCGGTCTGTAATCATCTCCCTCACAATTCCTACACATTTCTACCCACTGGTCCATTCTTACACACTGTTCCCCTTTCGCTCATACACTCCTCATCCCGCTGTTGGAATGTTCCATACTGATATCAGTGTCTGACGCTAGACCATAAGATTCTGTCTAAGGTTCTAGAGGTTCTCCCATACTCACTCCCTCCAGGAAGGCTGTCCCTGTCAAAGATGCAGACGGTATAGCCCAGTTCATTCTCCAGGACCCTGCGCAGTGTCAAAAGGACAAATTGCTCCTCCTCGCTATTCCTCGCGTACGAGATGTAGATGTCGTACTCCTTGTCTGAATGAGGAAGAAAAAAAAAATAGGTATTTTCACAGATGTCATTATTAGGATCAGGCAAATTTCCAGGTAACTAACTAAGGCCTGGAGTTAAGTCACAACTATTGCTTGCAGTTTTTCCCAGGTCAGGTTGAATAAGTTGGAGCTACACTTTCTTGGCCAGGTCAAGTGGTCAGGAAAAACTACTGGCCCTAGTTGGTTATTCTTAGCCAGGACTGTCTGTGCAGTAGGTGTCCCACCTGTAGAGCGTTCGTCGGTTCCGAACCAGGAGCGATAGAGCAGCAGCAGCTCCAGCCAGAAGATGTGGTAGACCACGAACAGCACCAGCATCAGGAACAGAGTCACGCCCAGGCCACAGTCCAGCTCCACAGATGGCAGGTACACTGAAAATTCATTACAATAGAGAATTAGGTGCCTCGGGCTGGCCTGGTTGGTAACACCATCACCTGCAGCATATACTGTACCTCTATTCAAGGTGACATTTTCACAGTGCAAAAGAATTGTGCGAAAAATAGCGTAAACCTACTTTTTTATTTTACCTACTGTATATTTAGGCAGGTGATTCCCATTGAGACCAATCTCGCAGTATGATTTAACAAGAATTGAGTAAACTGAGCAATACATCTATAACAGTGGTGGTCAGTGCCGTTTATGATGAGGGAGGACCATTTTTATTTTTCATGAGCATGGCCTTATTTCTATTACAGCATGTTGGATAACTGTCATTCATATTCCATTCACCCAGTTCAATGTAACATCGATAGGTTTAGGCTACTACAAGATACTCAAATATTCTCTATACTCAACATGAGGTTGCTACAACCTAGCCTATGAATGAAAGTTTAAAACGTGGGTCCACACAGGTGGAGAGAAACATTTTAGATGACAGACAGTGACACATGGACAGACAGTGACACGTTCAATACGGCCTTGCACACTCTTGCCTGCATCTAGCTTATCTAGGGTGTAATCGTTAGTCCAACAGTTACAAACGAGAGTTTCTATTGTACAAATTCAGGTATTTTCATCCCCGTTTCGTTTGCTTCCGTTTAAGAAACGTTTTTCAACAGAATCAGCAGAATGAATACACCCCTGATCATAGCAGCCACGTTGTATTCATTCTAGCCTCTATGCGCTCTCCTCCTCTCACCTTTTCCCTTTGTTTGTGGACTTCAATGAAGAACACATCAGCTGTATGTGACCAAGGCGAAAAAACCTTTCCAAGTCAAAACCTTTCCAAGTCAAACATCGTTGTCCCCATATTAGCTAAAGTAACGTCAGAGTCAACATAGCTAATAGAACTAATGCGTTAGTAAACCCGCTACAATCAGTAACTTAACAGTGTATAGTCAGTAAGCGGTTTGACCGGCCGGCCCCAGTGGCAATCATTTAATAAAACCAAAAGCTTACCTTGACTTGGAAGAGTTCCAGTTTTGTGTTGGATAGTCATAGCCAACTAGCTAACATAGCATCCCTCTGTTTGAGTAACTAAACTAGCCAGTTTCATTTGCTAGATAACTAAGTGAAACTGAAAAAAATGATACTCTCACTCTCTCTCTCTCTCTCTCTCTCTCTCTTGGTTCTCCTTAATTTTTGAAGAAATTAATTGGTTGAAAACTGTTCAACTATTGCTCTTTGAGTCAACTACTCATCACATGTTATGCACTGCAGTGCTAGCTAGCTGTAGCTTATGATTTCAGTACTAGATTCATTCTCTCCTTTCATCCTTTGATTGGGTGGACAACATGTCAGTTCATGCTGCAAGAGCTCTGATAGGTTGGAGGACGTCCTCCGGAACTTGTCATAATTACTGTGTAAGTCTATTGAAGGGGGTGAGAACCAAGAGCCTCCTAGGTTTTGTATTGAAGTCAATGTACCAAGAGGAGGACGGAAGCTAGCTGTCCTCCGGCTACACCATGGTGCTACCATACAGAGTGCTGTTGAGGCTACTGTAGACCTTTCATTGCAAAACAGTGTGTTTTAATAAATTATTTGGTGACATGTGGATATATTTAGTCTTGTTATTCAATGTTTTACCATTTTTAATTTTAAGAAATTCACTGAGGATGGTCCTCCCCTTCCTCCTCTGAGGAGCCTCCGCTAATCTATAGTTGCCTCTTTATAACGCACATTGTTGAGGATTATTGTAATTTTTGCACTTTGCACAATTATTTTGCACTACGAAAATGTCTCCCTCAGTCTGTGGTAGCATTGTATCAAATCCCACCCCTCCTACCTGTATGTATCATCCTGCTCTCCCTCACTGTTATGACTGCTTATCCCAACAAAACTCATAAAATAGGAAAGGTGTGATATAGCCAACTCTTCTAGGCTACAGGATTGGTGTGACCTGATAATATACTGTACTTTGTATGTTAATTCTTTAGAGCCTAAGACATTGGGGGAAGGGGGGGGGGGGGGGGTGCTAAGCTGACATATGGAATTGTTTTAATATGGTCATACTATGGATAATTTAGCTTGTTTGTTTTTATTCTATTTCTATAAAAAAAAAATACACATATTTAACCCCATTTTTTTTTTTACCAGTACTGGTTACATTCAGAAAAGCCGCGTGACACTTATCGGGGTCCTAGAGCAAAACAGAGAACACCATCGTGTCCGTGAGAATCTCAGCTTTCCACAGTGCGAGCCCATTAATTTGTAGCCCAAACGGTTCGGACGCTACCAAACAGAAGTTGGCACATCGACGGTACAGACTACCAACTTCAGATATCTCTAACTTCAACTGATGGATTTTGATGGGGACTTTTTTACTATGTAACTTAGATTGATGCACCGGGGCGTCAATCGACTCTAGGGGGTTGCAGTTATTGCTTGAAATAATAAAACATAGTCGTACACTAAAGAATGTAGCATGTAAAAATAAAACAAAAAAAGCCAAATGATAAAACAGAGCAAGATATAAAACAATGGTATAAAAATCATACTAATAAAGGAAACAAAGAGCATTAAAACTGAGAATAAAAGGCAAACTAGTTAAAAATCAAGATCATTAGAGTATTGAAATATTTAATTCATGTTACAGTAAACAGTCCAAATCTCTACTGCTAACCATCACACAACAGTCCACAAGATCAACCACAGAGCACTAGCTACACATTACTTTCCCATAGTGACTAATACAACATTCAGCACATTCCCACAGAAATGCTCTGTGATGTGCTAACTCATTCCTCACTCTCCTCTTCTAGCACTGCCCTGCGGGTGGCTACATGCCTCGGCCGTTGCGTCCGGAGCAGTTGTATTCTCTGGTCAGGTCCTCTGAGCTGAAGTCCTGGATGCGGAGCACATTCTCAACTGTCCAGTCCCCAAAATATTCCAACACAACCCTGTAGGATAGAGAGGTGAGGGGAGGAGAGAGGAGATGAGGGGAAGGAATACATTGGAAAGGAGTGACAGAATAATGAGAGGAGAGGATTGAAACAAACAAAACAAACAAAAAGAGGAGTATAAAAGAATAGAGATGAGAAGAGAATAGAAAGTAACAGAAGAGACTAGACAAGACAAGACAGAAGAGGATGAGACTTGCCTAGAAGTGAATGAGATGCGGGGATCAGCTAGCTGCTCTACAGTCTTCCCATCGATGGTCCACCAGGTCTCCCTGGGTCCTTCCAGGTAGGGCAAAGACACCCTGCATGTGAGATTCACCTCTGACCCTGCAACAGTCACCACGGCTATCAATACTGCTGCATAACCATAGGAACAATGTCTACTGTGTCACCATGATAATATCACCCAATCGCTACAGCCATGACTACAACTTTGTCACAAGAACATTTTTATAATATGAAAAAAGGAATAGCAACAACTCACAAAAAAAGTAACATTCTGTGAAATAGTAGTGATTTTACTCGATTTAACAGTAATGTCCTGTAAGATGTTCTACAGTAGGTAGTTCTACAGTATATAGTTGTTTAATTACATCAACTTAATGTGGAACTGTCACTTTGGTCTGCACCCTGTGATGGAAATATTATTATTGGCACAACCAAAGAACAGCTAAACTGTTCTTACAGTTGAAGTCGGAAGTTTACATACACTTAGGTTGGAGTCATTAAAACTTGTTTTTCAAGCACTCCGCAAATTTCTTGTTAACAAACTATCGTTTTGGCAAGTCAGTTAGGACATCTACTTCGTGCATGACACAAGTAATTTTACCAACAATTGTTTACAGACAGATTATTTCACTTATAATTCACTGTATCACAATTCCAGTTGGTCAGAAGTTTACATACACTAAGTTGACTGTGCCTTTTAAACAGCTTGGAAAATTCCAGAAAATGATGTCAAGGCTTTAGAGGTGTACTTGTGGTTGTATTTCAAGGCCTACCTTCAAACTCAGTGCCTCTTTGCTTGACATCATGGGAAAATTAATAGAAATCAGCCAAGACCTCAGAAAAAACATTGTAGACCTCCACAAGTCTGGTTCGTCCTTGGGAGCAATTTCCAAATGCCTGAAGGTACCACGTTCATCTGTACAAACAATAGTACGCAAGTATAAACACCATGGGACCACGCAGCCTTCATACCGCTCAGGAAGGAGACACGTTTTGTATCCTAGAGATGAACGTACTTTGGTGCGAAAAGTGCAAATCAATCCCAGAACAACAGTAAAGGACCTGGTGAAGATGCTGGAGGAAACAGGTACAAAAGTATCTATATCCACAGTAAAACGAGTCCTATATCGACATAACCTGAAAGGCCGCTCAGCAAGGAAGAAGCCACTGCTCCAAAAACGCCATAAAAAGGCCAGACTACAGTTTGCATCTGCAAAATATGGTACTTTTTGGAGAAATGTCCTCTGGTCTGATGAAACAAAAATATAACTATTTGGCCATAATGACCATCGTTATGTTTGGAGGAAAAAGGGGGTTGCTTGCAAGCCGAAGAACACCATCCCAACAGTGAAGCATGGGGGTGGCAGCATCATGTTGTGGGGGTGCTTTGCTGCAGGAGGGACTGGTGCACTTCACAAAATAGATGGCATCATGAGGAAGGAAAATTATGTGGATATATTGAAGCAACATCTCAAGACATCAGTTAGGAAGTTAAAGCTTGGTCGCAAATGGGTCTTCCAAATGGACAATGACCCCAAGCATACTTCCAAAGTTGTGGCAAAATGGCTTAAGGACAACAACGCCCTGACCTCAATCCTATAGAAATGTGTGGGCAGAACTGAAAAAGCGTGTGCGAGCAAGGAGGCCTACAAACCTGACTCAGTTACACCAGCTCTGTCAGGAGGAATGGGCCAAAATGTACCCAACTTATTGTGGGAAGCTTGTGGAAGGCTACCCGAAACGTTTGACCCAAGTTAAACAATTTAAAGGCTACTAATTGAGTGTATGTAAACTTCTGACCCACTGGGATTGTGATGAAAGAAATAAAAGCTTAAATAAATCATTCTCTCTACAATTATTCTGACATTTCACATTCTTAAAATAAAGTGGTGATCCTAACTGACCTAAGACAGGGAATTTTACTAGGATTAAATGTCAGGAATTGTGAAAAACTGAGTTTAAATGTATTTGGCTAAGGTATATGTAAACTTCCGACTTCAACTGTATATATATATATATATATATATATATATATATATATATATATATATATAGCTAAAACCTACATAATAATAATAACAATAATAATAATAATAATAACAATAATAATAATAGTGCCTAATTGGCATGTTGCTAACTGGTCTGCATAAACCAATATTTTATATATATATATGTACAGTATATGCTTTTCAGTATTTCTACAGCTTTAGCTCGTACACCATTTCTCTCTCACCCATGCTTTGTCATCGTACTGCTGTCAACTCTCGCTCTCTCTGTGTCAAGTTGGCTGGATGTCCTTTGTGTGGTGGACCATTCTTGATACACACGGGAAACTGCTGAGCGTGAAAAACCCAGCAGTATTGCAGTTCTTGACACAAACCGGTGCGCCTGGCACCTACTACCATACCGCGTTCTAAAGGACTTAAATCTTTTTTTCTTGCCCATTCACCCTCTGAATGGCACACATACACAATCCAGTTGTCTCAAGGCTTAAAAATCTTTCTTTAACCTGTCTCCTCCCCTTCATCTACACTGATTGAAGTGGATTCAACAGGTGACAACAAGGGATCATAGCTTTCACTTGGTCAGTCTGTCATGGAAAGAGCAGTGTTCCTAATGTTTAGTACACTCAGTGTATATCTTAATATAATATAATATGCCATTTAGCAGACGCTTTTATCCAAAGCGACTTACAGTCATGCGTGCATACATTTTTACGTATGGGTGGTCCCGGGGATCGAACCCACTACCTTGGCGTTACAAGCGCCGTGCTCTACCAGCTGAGCTACAGAGGACCACATATATAATATATTGATATGCTGATGTATCTGATAGTCCTTCTCTACCTACCTTGTTTGACGGGATAGAGTTGCTCCTTGGCAGGGTTGAGTATATTGGGCTTTTTGGGTAAACCACTGGAAGCTGAGAGAAACACAAAGCAGAAAATACACTCAACTTGTTGAAAGTTTGACATTATCATATTGCAAGATCAGATAGTTATCCAGAAAACATAACCCTAACTACCGGAAACACATATCATTGAATTGCTTTAACAAAAGGATGTACAGTGCAACGTTCATAGTTACAAAACATTCAGATTAGTTGTGAAAAAGGCCTTACACACTGCAGTTACATTGACCACTCTGGTGAATTTGATGGCTCTTCCTTTGGTCTCGTAAGTGACCACACATTGGTACAGTCCTTGGTAGTGCTCCAACATTACATGGATGACCAGCTTGTCTCCTTTGAACACACGATCGATGTTCCTGAAGGCATTACACTCCTGCTCAAGGTCAACACAGATAGGGAGGGGGGAGTAGAGCAGAGTAGATCACAGGAGGTTGGTGGCACCTTAATTGGGGAGGACGGGCTTGTGGTAATGGCTGGAGCGGAATTGGTGAAATGGTATTAAATACATCAAACACATGGTTTCCATGTGTTTATGCCATTCCATTTGCTCCGTTCCGGCAATTATTATGAGCTGTCCTCCCCTCAGCAGTCTCCACTGGAGTAGATAATCTTTAGTAGAAGAGAGGGACCAAAGAGGTCAAATGAGTTGTACACAGACAGATCTGAACTGAGCAAAACATTCTACCTGGTACCACAGTTAACACCAGTTCTTGCAGTTACAACTTGATGTGAACACATACTGTACTGTACAGTGAGAGAATGAGCGTGAAGAAAAAGGCTGATGGAACTGAGCACAGTTTAAGTAAGTCCCTTGAAGGGTATAGAACCCTGTGGTGATATAGCCTATCTACATTACTTCTTTATGAACAGGCCCTGAGCTTGGCAATAGTGGGGCTATGTTGTGTGTTATGTCTTGTTCCTTCCTTCAGCAAATCAAGGTTACGTTCTAAATGTTCCATTGCCATGATGGCTGGCAACGTTCTTATCCCTTGCTTGCTAGTTAGCCAACTTTGGCTAACACAGTCACGTCAAACAGTCCAGCCAGAATAACAGAAAGTAGCTACATTTGCGTTTGTTTAAGCTGTTTTCTAGTGATTTTTAGGGGATACATCCATAACAATGAGCTAATGATGTGCGATTTTGCCTGGCATAGAACATTTGCTCTCTCGGCAGGTCACTGTTCAGAAGAGATAGCCAACTACACAGCAAACACAATCACTTCAAATTGAAGCTGGAATGACAGCAAACTAGCTGAATTTCGTGGTTTTCTACTGAAATGTCTTTGAATATACAGTGAGGGAAAAAAGTATTTGATCCCCTGCTGATTTTGTACGTTTGCCCACTGACAAAGAAATGATCTGTCTATAATTTTAATGGTAGGTTTATTTGAACAGTGAGAGACAGAATAACAACAAAAAAATCCAGAAAAACGCATGTCAAAAATGTTATAAATTGATTTGCATTTTAATGAGGGAAATAAGTATTTGACCCCCTCTCAATCAGAAAGATTTCTGGCTCCCAGGTGTCATATATACAGGTAACGAGCTGAGATTAGGAGCACACTCTTAAAGCGAGTGCTCCTAATCTCAGCTTGTTACCTGTATAAAAGACACCTGTCCACAGAAGCAATCAATCAATCAGATTCCAAACTCTCCACCATGGCCAAGACCAAAGAGCTCTCCAAGGATGTCAGGGACAAGATTGTAGACCTACACAAGGCTGGAATGGGCTACAAGACCATCGCCAAGCAGCTTGGTGAGAAGGTGACAACAGTTGGCGCGATTATTCGCAAATGGAAGAAACACAAAAGAACTGTCAATCTCCCTTGGCCTGGAGCTCCATGCAAGATCTCACCTCGTGGAGTTGCAATGATCATGAGAACGGTGAGGAATCAGCCCAGAACTACACGGGACGATCTTGTCAATGATCCCAAGGCAGCTGGGACCATAGTCACCAAGAAAAAAACACACTACGCCGTGAAGGACTGAAATCCTGCAGCACCCGCAAGGTCCCCCTGCTCAAGAAAGCACATATACAGGCCCGTCTGAAGTTTGCCAATGAACATCTGAATGATTCAGAGGAGAACTGGGTGAAAGTGTTGTGGTCAGATGAGACCAAAATCGAGCTCTTTGGCACCAACTCAACTCGCCGTGTTTAGAGGAGGAGGAATGCTGCCTATGACCCCAAGAACACCATCCCCACTGTCAAACATGGAGGTGGAAACATTATGCTTTGGGGGTGTTTTTCTGCTAAGGGGACAGGACAACTTCACCACATCAAAGGGATGATGGACGGGGCCATGTACGTCAAATCTTGGGTGAGAACCTCCTTCCCTCAGCCAGGGCATTGAAAATGGGTCGTGGATGGGTATTCCAGCATGACAATGACCCAAAACACACGGCCAAGGCAACAAAGGAGTGGCTCAAGAAGAAGCACATTAAGGTCCTGGAGTGGCCTAGCCAGTCTCCATACCTTAATCCCATAGAAAATCTGTGGAGGGAGCTGAAGGTTCTAGTTGCCAAACGTCAGCCTCGAAACCTTAATGACTTGGAGAAGATCTGCAAAGAGGAGTGGGACAAAATCCCTCCTGAGATGTGTGCAAACCTGGTGGCCAACTACAAGAAACGTCTGACCTCTGTGATTGCCAACAAGGATTTTGCCACCAAGTACTAAGTAATGTTTTGCAGAGGGGTCAAATACTTATTTCCCTCATTAAAATGCAAATCAATTTATAACATTTTTGACATGCGTTTTTCTGGATTTTTTTGTTGTTATTCTGTCTCTCACTGTTCAAATAAACCTACCATTAAAATGATAGACTGATCATGTCTTTGTCAGTGGGTAAACATACAAAATCAGCACGGGATCAAATACTTTTTTCCCTCACTGTGTCCATAAAAATTATGCTTATTCATGATTTGGACTGGCTGAGAAAAGCTGCCAGCATGTCTGTCTCATCCCGAATCCCGACATGTTCATTATCATAGGACAGCTGGAGATCAAATTTCAATATTGAAACAATGTTGCAAATGTCGGCGAGACAGACAGCAAGGTTATTACAAATCTCCGCTGTTGAAAACCATAGTCTAAAAGAAATGGGAGACAATCTCTAGATGGTTTTTACAGTGTAGATCTAGTATATAAATTGCCTGGCTGAGCTGATGAGACAGTGGGATTGTGCAGTCAGATGGAACAGGGTAAACAGGCATTTCAATGTCATAGATTTAGCCGGTGGTGACTTGTGGAATAGACAACGGCTGGAATGCAGTTTTGACCAATCATTATCCGGTAAAATGTACAGTAATCAACTATAAAAAAGTTGCCAATAACATGACTGTAAAAGTGGAATGCAACACGTTACAACACGACAGGATGCCAGTCTATCGCAGACTTACCCCCAATCCATCTCCTTAATGCTGAGTGCCAAGCAGGGCAGAAACTAACCACAAGGGCAAGGAGTTGGTCTCACTAATGGGTCTAACAAATATAACCTGTAACAAAGCATGACAGGACATACACATGGCCAAAGGTATGTGGACACCTGCTCTTCGAACATCTCATTCCAAAATCATGGGCATTAATATGGAGTTGGTCCCCCTTTGCTTCTATAACAGCCTCCACTCTTCTGGGAATGCTTTCCACTAGATGTTGGAACATTACTGCGGGTACTTGCTTCCATTCAGCCACAAGAGCATTAGTGAGGTCGGGCACTGATGTTGGGCGATTAGGCCTGGCTTGCAGTCAGCGTTCCAATTCATCCCAAAGGTGTTCGATGGGGTTGAGGTCAGGGCTCTGTGCAGGCCAGTCAAGTTCTTCCACACCGATCTCGACAAATTTCTGTATGGACCTCGCTTTGTGCACGGGGGCATTGTCATGCTGAAACAGGAAAGGGACTTCCTCAAACTGCCACAAAGTTGGAAGCACAGAATCGTCTAGAATGTCATTGTATGCTGTAGCATTAAGATTTCCCTTCACTGGAACTAAGTTGCCTAGCCCGAACCATGAAAAACAGCCCCAGACCACTTTACAGTTGGCACTATACATTGGGTCAGGTAGTGTTCTCCTGGCATCCTCGATAATTCAGTTCACAATTGCATAGTACAGGGTTGTCAAACATACGGCACGCAGGCTGAGGGGGTCTAATCCGGCCCGCGGGTGGTTTGAGTAAAAAAAATATATATATATAATCGACCTATATTCATACAATTTCTTGACTGTATCCAGCTCGCTAATAAATCACCGAAATGAAAGCTAGACAGTCAGGGAGCATTGAAAATTCAAAAAACTTTGGATAGAGGACAATTCTGACGGGGAGGAAATATAACCAATTTTCATTGCGGTCCTCCGGCCCGAGTTGAAAACCGAATGAGTTTGACAACCCAGGTATAGTTCATCACGTCAGATCTTGTCGAACAGTCTGACTATTTGGATGTCATACAACTGTGACAGCCAAAACATAAGATATGTTCAGCAAACTCAAAACTTAAAGATTGATTTAACTTAGAACATTGGAGAGGCCTCAAATGTTGCAATCAGTCATGAAACCAGTCAAACTTTATAAATCAGCCTTGAAAGGGCACAACATGGGCATTCATTTATGAAATAAAGGAACTCACTGTAATTTACTATCCAGTATCTTAGCTGAACATTTGTTGTTCATTTTACAGCTAACAAATTTAGTAATTTGCTAGACCAGAATGCATTGTGGTCTACAGTAACATATTGTAAACTGGTATAGCAGTACTTTACTGTATGTTTTACTGTAAACAGACAAATACAGCAATCTGTTACAGTGCTGGTCTTCTGGTTGAGAAGAGATAATATATCCAGACTACAATGAACAGGTCTTTGTTAAAAGCAGGTCAAGACAACTTTTTCATGATGTGATCAAGATGTCATGTCTTCTGGACAATTAAAACCAGACATCACATACTAATAGGGATTTTTTTCCCCTTAATCATATCACAATCAACTTTTTGTATTTAAAAAAATCTGGAATATTGTATTAAAATATGCAAATTAGGTGGTCTCTCATTAAATATAGGCACAGACATATGCACACACACACACACACACACACACACACACACACACACACACACACAATAACATACGCACTATACACACACACCTACACATGGATTTTGTGTTGTAGATATGTGGTGGTAGAGTAGGGGCCTGAGGGCACACACTTAATGTGTTTATTTATGTTTTTTAATTTTAATTTTAATTTATTGTAATGTTTTTAAAATTGTATAACTGCCTTAATTTTGCTGGACCCCAGGAAGAGGGGGATCATAATAAATACAAATATGTGCATATTTGCATATCCCGCAATTTAGACTGCCAAACACCAAACACCTATTTAGACCCAAACACCAAGTTACTACATATAGTCCAGTTTGTTACATTCTCTATGAAATGCTTTTAAATTATGTGTAATTCAAAATAGTGAGCTTTGAAATGTTGGATGTATGTCCATTTTAAATTGGTTAAAATTCATGAAATTTCGATGATAAACTAAAAAAGATAAACATTTTCATCAAGATTTGTATGTTAACTAATATTAATAGACCAAAATACCAACAACCCTCAAAACTGATAGGTAGATGTAATTTCAGCCTGTAGTGCCTAACCCAAATTATAACCAAAACATGTTTACAACCTAGTATACAATCTGACCACAATGTTTTGACCCCTGGTGTATACTGATGATAGCAGTGCTTTTTAATAAGGAACCTATTTTTTTTTAAATTGTATCAAGTGATACACCTTCTTAGCTGCTATTGGTACTATGTACTGCACCCAAGTGAAAATACTAGCCATTATCCCATATGGTAAGTCAGATTAATTGTACACAGACAGACCGAGGGTCACCTTACATGGTACCAGGTGACAGAGTGGCTAGTGTTAGGCAGCTTGATGTCCTCCAGGTCAGGGCAGGTTAGGATCCTGCCCTCCTGTAAGGGCGCGATGACTAGGGTGGGAGGCACAGCAGACTTCACCTCACAGTTAGGGTCCTGGCCACTTGGCACCACCTCCAGACGCACTGCAATCTTGGCACACAGTGTCCTGTTTCTGAGAGGGGAAAGTACACACACACACAAAACAAACAGATCATGTTAATCAGACAAACTTGGACTGTCATCCTTCTAAAAAACAGATATTGTAGGTCAGGAAGTTTTGGCTCAGGATATGACACACTTCCTGACCGTCCAACAGATAATGGATGGGTTCAAAAGATTAAAAGAATGTCTAACTTTTTATACAAACATCTGCTCATAGACCGGTTTTCTTGGTTGCATGGGTCAAAACTCCTGGGCCTCCCGAGCCCAGTCTCCATCCTACCTCAGCATGCAGATGTACTGGCCCGTGTCCTGCGTGGTGGTGGGCTGCAGCCACAGCTTCTCCCTCTCCTTGCTGAGCCTCTGGTCAGGGTGGTGGAAGTCGATGGGCTGTTCCATGTCCTGACCTGCAACCACGTGGTACCACACTAGGTTGAGGCCCGCTGCCTGGATCGAGCTGTAGTTGTAGACAGTGGGGTGGGAGAAGAGAGGGCAGGGCAGCCAGCATGCCTCCCCCTCCATCACCCGCACAGCTCCAACGCCTGACTCTCCCCAGTCGTGGCACTGGAACACTGAGAGAGGGATAGAGGGATTACTTGTATTCACCCTGCATACCCTAATTGACAAACAAACAAACCAAAACAAAGGCAAAGTCTTCTCATGCTTTGTTGATTTCAAAAAAGCTTTTGACTCAATTTGGCATAAGGGTCTGCTATACAAATAGATGGAAAGTGGGGCTGGGGGAAAAACATACGACATTATAAAATCCATGTACACAAACAACAAGTGTGCGGTTAAAATTGGCAAGAAAACACACACGTTTCTTTCCACAGGGCCATGGGTTGAGACAGGGATGCAGTTTAAGCCCCACCCTCTTCAACATTTATATCAACGAATTGGCGAGGGCATTAGAACAGTCTGCAGCACCCGGCCTCACCCTACTAGAATCTGAAGTCAAATGTCTACTGTTTGCTGATGATCTGGTGCTTCTGTCACCAACCAAGGAGGGCCTACAGCAGCACCTAGATATTCTGCACAGATTCTGTCAGACCTGGGCCCTGACAGTAAGACAAAAATAATGGTGTTCCAAAAACGGTCCAGTTGCCAGGACCACAAATACAAATTCCATCTAGACACCGTTGCCCTACAGCACACAAGAAACATCTTCGCCACAGGTAACTTCCACAAAGCTGTGAACAAACTGAGAGACAAAGCAAGAAGGGCCTTCTATGCCATCAAAAGGAACATAACATTCGACATACCAATTAGGATCTGGCTAAAAATACTTGAATCAGTTATAGAACCCATTGCCCTTTATGGTTGTGAGGTCTGGGGTCCGCTCACCAACTAAGAATTCACAAAATGGGACAAACACCAAATTGAGACTGCATGCAGAATTCTGCAAAAATATCCTCAGTGTACAACGAAAAACACTAAATAATGCATGCAGAGCAGAATTAGGCCGATAGCCGCTAATGATCAAAATCCAGAAAAGAGCCGTTAAATTCTATAACCACTTAAAAGGAAGTGATTCCCAAACCTTCCATAACAAAGCCATCACCTACAGAGAGATTAACTTGGAGAAGAGTCCCCTAAGTAAGCTGGTCCTGGGGCTCTGTTCACAAACACAAACAGACCCCACAGAGCCCCAGTACAACAACAACAACATAATTAGACCCAACCAAATCATGAGAAAACAAAAAGAAAATTACTTGACACATTGGAAAGAATTAACAAAAAAACAGCACAAACTAGAATGCTATTTGGCCCTAAACAGAGAGTAAACAGTGGCAGAATACCTGACCACTGTGACTGACCCAAACTTAAGGAAAGCTTTGACTATGTACAGACTCAGTGAGCATAGCCTTACTATTGAGAAAGGCTGCTGTAGGCAGACCTGGCTCTCAAGAGAAGACAGGCTATGTGCACACTGCCTACAAAATGAGGTGGAAACTGAGCTGCACTTCCTAACCTCCTGCCAAATGTATGACCATATTAGAGACACATATTTCCCTCAGATTACAGAGAACCACAAAAAACAAACCCAATTTTGTTAAACTCCCTTATCTGCTGGGTGAAATACCACAGTGTGCCATCACAGCAGCAATATTTGTGACCTGTTGCCACAAGAAAAGGGCAACCAGTGAAGAACAATCACCATTGTAATACAACCCATATTTATGTTTATTTATTTTCCCTTTTGTACTTTAACTATTTGCACATTGTTACAACACTGTATTCTGAGTGTAATGTTTACTATTAATATTGATTGTTTATTTCACTTTTGTTTACTATCTACTTCACCTGCTTTAACAATGTTAACATAAAGTTTCCCATGCCAATAAAACCCTTAAATTGAATTGAAATTGAATTACTCTACAGACAAAATCTCTCTCTCTCTCTCGCTCTCTGAGACAGTGTCACAGAAAATACAACACACATCCACAGAACATCAAAGAAGAGTATAGACAAGGCTATTACAGTGTATGATTATTATTATATAACCATGTGTTAATAGAAGTCGGTGCTTTAATTTACATTGTACCCCACTTCACATGTTGTATTTAGGAACTTTGGGCGGAGGAGGGGGATAGGGAGAAGGAGGGAGATGTGGGGCACGCTGCTGATATTGGGGGGCTGTAGTAGTCCTCACCATTTGTTTCTGCAAAGGGGTGGAGGTAGGGGGGCTATGCTAGGCTGCATGGCAGTTTGATGGTAATTGCCCTGTCAGATTCACGCAAAGAGAGTATTAGTCTTCCTATTAAAAGTCCCCGAACATTACAAATGAACACCTTCTGAAACCATCCATTTTCTCTCCCGCTGAGGGACTAGATTTTCATTAAACACATTTTCAGAGGTGCAAACAGAAACAGAACACCTGCGAGTTTCCATTTGCAGAGAGGTCTACACGCAACCACCCACACCTGCGTGTCTTTGCACGACACCAACTCCATCATCAAGTTTGCTGGCGATACCACGGTTGTAGGCCTGATAATCAACAACGATGAGTCAGCCTATAGACAGGAGGTAAGTGAACTGGCATTGTGGTGGCAGGACAACAACCTCTCCCTCAACGCCAGTAAAAAAAAGGAGTTAATTGTTGACTCTGGAACCAGAGGAGGATCCACATCAAATGGACTGCAGTAGAGAGAGTCAGCAGTTTTAAGTTCCTCGGCCTCCATATCACTGAGGACTTGACATGGACCAACAACAGCACCATTATTGTCAAGTGGGCACAACAGCGTCTCTACTTCTTAAGGCGGTTGAAGAAATTCAGCATGCCACCCCGGGTCCTCTCCAAAAACTACTGCTGCACCATCGAGAGGGTCCTGACCAGTTACATCACAGCCTGGTACAGGAATTGCAAACGTCGACGACCACAAGGCCCTACAGCGGGAGGTGAAGACGGCCCTTATACATCACTGGGACCGTGCTCCCACCCATCCAAGACATCTACTCGAAACGGTGCCTGAGGAAGGCCTGCAGTACCAACCTGTATGGTCTCCCACATTGTCTCTCATTAGCACCACCAGCTGAAGAGAGTTTTCTTCCTAATTGTCTTCCCCGTGCCCTGTATGAATTTGTCCATTGCCTTTGTGATTTTTCTGAAGAAGGCCCTTGTAGGCCGAAACATCAATCTTTTAAACTTGTCGAATTTTACAAATGTTTAAAGGTGAGCGAGCGTTGCGCCTTTTCCTGTCCAATGATTTTTAGGTTGTACCTCTACTCATGTGTTGTGGAGCACCTTCTACTTCTTTCCCATTTCTATCATGTTAAATATGAACCACTATCAGTATCGACCGTCAGTAGACCTATTAACAAAACATATTCAACTGCTAATTTCTGTTAGAGTTGTGAGAATACAAAAATCTAAGCCTTGTGTCATTACAAAAAGGAACTTTAAGAACTTCAGCAAACAGGCTTTTTTTACATGATCTTTTAGTGACCTTGATTGTATTTCAGCTATCCCTGAACCTGATTTAGCTTTCAGTCTTTTTTCAGATGTCTTCAATACTATTGTGGATAATCATGCTCCCTTCAAAAAACGAAGGGTTAAAGGTAGGTTGAATGCCTGGTACACTCCGAAATTATCAGAAGTCACTCATAAAAGAGATGATGCATGGGTCAAAGCTTGGGCCAGACGGGCAAGCTTTTAAACAACTGACGAATCATTGTGTAAGACAAATCAGAAAGTCTAAATCTGATGTATGTAACTGCTCTTTCGGATTGTAATGGGAACCCAGTAAAATTCTGGAAAACTGTCAAATCCCTGAAGGATTCTACTTCCTTCTCTCTGCCACAACAAATTAATCCAGACACTAGCCTTCTTAATGGAAAGAAATGCCATCATTGATGCATTTAATCACCATTTTATTTCAGCAGCCTCTCTCTTTGAAAGAACTTCTAAGCCTATTCACAGCTCTTGTGCTGCCACTCCATAAGGGCAGGCTAGTAGTGATCTTAATAATTGTCGCCTCATTTCAAGGTTTCCTTGTCTAGCTAAGGATCTTGAATCCTTGGTAAATGTACAACTTCGCTATTTTTTTATCTGAGAAATGTGTTTTGCATGTAAATCAAATCAGGGTTTAGGCCTGGACATAGCACTATTACAGCAACCACTTTAGTTGTTAATGATCTTGTCAATTCTTTAGACCAGGGATCATCAACTAGATTCAGCCGCGTGCAGACTATTTTCTTGAGCGGATGGTTGGTGGCCAGAACATGATTACAAGTAATTTGTAGACAGCAAATTGACCGCAAAAAGCCCAAAAATATATCATAAATAAAACATAATAATTTCAAACCTTGCTTATATTTGTATATGATTACGTGTTGCTTTATTATGCGTGGAAATACTTGGGAACAGATTTTCCAAATTAAAATCACTAGGAGATTATTTCCTGGTGTTTAAAAAAAAATTATGTCCAACAATGAAAATATTACAAAATATACAGTACACATCAAAAGTTTGGACACACCTACTCATTCAAGGGTTTTTCTTTATTTTTAATAAAGGGCAAAGGGTGGCTATTTGAAGAAAAGTGAGGGAAAGTGAGGGGAAAAAGTATTTGATCCCCTGCTGATTTTCTACGTTTGCCCACTGACAAAGACATGATCAGTCTATAATTTTAATGGTAGGTTTGTTTGAACAGTGAGAGACAGAATAACAACAAAATAATCCAGAAAAACGCATGTCAAAAATTTTATGAATTGATTTGCATTTTAATGAGGGAAATAAGTATTTGACCCCTCTGCAAAACATGACTTAGTACTTGGTGGCAAAACCCTTGTTGGCAATCACAGAGGTCAGATGTTTCTTGTAGTTGGCCACCAGGTTTGCACACATCTCAGGAGGGATTTTGTTCCATTCCTCTTTGCAGATCTTCTCCAAGTCATTAAGGTTTCGAGGCTGATGTTTGGCAACTCGAACCTTCAGCTCCCTCCACAGATTTTCTATGGGATTAAGGTCTGGAGACTGGCTAGGCCACTCCAGGACCTTAATGTGCTTCTTCTTGAGCCAC